CTCCAGCCATGGCCCTTGCCGGCTGGCTGAGCGGGGTCGGCTGAGCGGGGTCAGGCACCTGCACGACCTTTCACCTTCCCGGGGCCAGCCTGGCTGGTTTGGCTCAGCAGTTAGAGCGTCAGCCTGTGGACCGAAGGTCACAGGTTCGATTCCCGGCCCAGGGCACCCACCTCAGTTGCAGGTCCGTCCTGACCACTTGTCGGGACACATGCAGGAGGCAGCCAGTCGATGTGCCTCCCTCCCCTCGTGGTCTCTCTCTCTCTCTCTCTCTCTCTCTCCCCCCCCTTTCCCCTCTCCCTAAAATACCCTCAGGAGAAATATCCTCGAGGACGGGGCTATAACAGTGAGGTGCGCTGACCCCAACTCTCACAGGGGAGGCGTTGCTGGCCTCAGCTGAGAGTCTGCCCTGAGACCGGTCGGCGTCTTCCCCGGGGGCTACTGAGTGCAAACAGGCCGCCCTGCCCTCGCCGGGCACACGGGAGGCGGAGGCCGAGGAGGGACGGGTCCGCAGGAAGCTCCCTGGCTGTGCTTGCTTCCTGGCCATCTCTGCCGCCTCTTTGTCCTTCAGCCCATGGAGGCCGCTGGGCGGAGGGCACGCTCCCGGGCCACCAGGTCTGCAGACACGTGCCCCCCCCCCGCCCCCCTGCAGCGAGGATGGAGTCGGGGGAGGGAAAGCATTGGGTGCTGGTTGCCCTCACGGGGCCTCTTTTTCCCTCAGTGGCACGTTGCCTGCCCTGAGGCCTCGGACAGACCCTCGCCCCTGCTCGTAGGTGTGCGGAGGCAGCTTGGTAGCCGGGCGGGCCGCCTCCCCTCTCTGGGCTTCCCGCCCCTCAGTGTTAGCCCCGAGCGGATGCTGCAGCCGTGGGACAGGCCGCAGTGCACAGCCCCGGGGAAGTGATGCCGGTGGCTGGGCTCCTGCCTCCAGAACCAGACTCAGGAAGCCTGGGCTCCAGCGTCTTCCCACACGCCCGCCTGGAACACGTTTAAAAATCACAGCTCGCCTCCCATGTGCAGGCGTGTAGGCGTGCAGGCGTGTAGGCGTGCAGGCGGCAGGCGTGTAGGCGTGCAGGCGTGCCCATGGATGGGGCTTTGTGTGCGAGAAGCACTAAGGCATCAGGATTGGAAACCGCATTGAAAGGTTGTCGGGCAGGGTGTGAGCGAGGTCCGCCCGCTGCCATATCTGCCCGGTGACCCCTGCAGTGAGGTCAGAGCCGCGGAGACACTGGGTGCCGTGGCTGCAGACGTGCCCGCAGGAGGACGGGGAGTCGGTTACAGACGCTGACCTGAGGTTTATGCTGGTGTCAGAGTTCACGTGCGTGGGGACATCCTGTGCGTCGGCCTGCCTGTCCCTCTGCTGCGAGGCACCTGCCCCGCTCGCCCAGACGTGGAGCCCACGTGGGCCCTGGCAGGAAGGGGGTGGGCAGCCTCACTTTCTCAGTCACCACCC